TGATGATGAGGATGGTGATGATGGTGAGGATGATGATGAGGATGGTGATGATGATGAGGATGGTGATGATGATGAGGAGGATGGTGATGATGATGAGGATGGTGATGAGGAGGATGGTGATGATGATGAGGATGAGGATGGTGATGATGGTGATGATGATGAGGATGGTGATGATGGTGATGATGATGGTGATGATGGTGATGATGATGATGATGATGATTTGTTCCCATGTTGGTCTTCTTCTGAACTCGCTGTGTGAAGGTGAGTCGGTCTGTTTTGGGTTCTGCTGGTTCACACGGTGGACGGTTTCATCAGAGCCTGATCCCCAAACAGCTGCTTGAAGTGAACCACGTGCTCCTCACAGTGCTCTCCTGGAGGGGGAGGGGGGAGAAGGTTACTGAAGCTCAGGACCAGTCGGTCCTACAGAGTTAACCATTGAGCTGACTTCAGATCAGCTTCCTCTCACCGGGGTTGAATCCAGGACTTCCTCTGAGCCGCTGGTTCCTCTGCTGGAAGCACCTGAACACGGTGTAGAACAACATCTGGTCTCCGGTCTGTCGCGCCGCGTCCAGGAACTTCCTGGACGACACGTTGTCATGGCCACCTGAAACCAAAGCAGGGTTACGCAATCATCCAAACAGACCGATCACAATGCTGACCGAATGTTCAAACTCAACCTGGAAGAAAACGTGAATGATTTTAGTTGAATTCAGCCTCTTGTGGACAAAACGAGTATTACAACTGTCAGCAAATGATCCAGACCAACAACAAACAGAATCCCCTGCTGAGAGCTTTTGCTTCCGTATGAATTAGTTCAGTTACAATAATAAAGAGATTAAATGAAACATCAACGTACCGACGCTGCGGATGAACCTCAGCGCTGACAGAACTTGTTGCTTCGACAGAAGAACCTCCACGATCTCATCGTTGGCCGTAGAGAGACGCTGAAAACACAGAGCTGTGTTTAAAATGAAGAGATGGATAAAGTTGGTCTTCTCTTAAAGCCTGTGTGTGATACCTTCAGCATGTCCAGTGAGAGCTGGTGAGCCGGAGGATACGTGCTCTCCAGAGACAGAAGCAAACACGCCTGAACACAAAGGAAAGTTATTAATGAAGAGGAGCAATGAACCGTCTCTAGTGAGTTCATGTTGTATTTTAGGTTCTTTTGTTTCTCTCTTATGAATTCAGTTATTTATTTTAATGATATCTTTGTTGATTTTCTCCAGATTATTTTGCACAAACCTGTAAAACTCTTTCATTCACATTAAAAACAGATGTATTGTACATCTTTATCCATGTTTCTTTACTTTTTACTTGATTTTTTATGGAATAAAACTAAGATTATAATCACGTGAACGCGGCTCATCTCCAACAGTAAAAGGTTCAGGACTTGTTCCAGATGCTGTGACTCCATCGTGTTAACGTGACTTTAGTCTGAGGAGCTGCGGTTGGAGGTTTGGACTCACCAGAGGTTTGGAGTCACTGAGGACGTGGTACTGGAGGAACTGGTGCAGCATGTAGAACAGGCTGTGCTGCACCAGCGTCTTTATCACCAACTCGTACAAGTAATGCTGAGACACAAACACAACCGTCTGATTTAATCAGCTGATGATGTCACCTTTTATATCTACATGTAATATAAAACTGGTGACGAGTTTGATCAGTTTTACCTGCACGGTGATCTGGAACTGGTTCAGAGAGCGGATGTACTCCATCAGCACCGCGATGATGAACTTATGGGGCGCGCCCTGCAGAGCAAGCAGTCAACCACATCATGAAATATATATTTAATAGTTTGTGATCAACTTTATTGATATTTCAGATTCACTAAAGTCAAACAATAACAACAAGAAACAACAAATACACAACAAGACGTGTGTATTTCTTTGTGTATTTGTACCTTCCTCTCTGTGAACGACGACAGGACGTGTGTGTACATGTCTGATTGGTCGACGACCGCCTGAGTTCTGATTGGATGCTTCGGAGCCGCGCTGCCTCGACTGGGACCGGACTCCATCGCCTAAAACATAAACACAAATATCTCAAAGTACTACACGTACTAATACACAGCGGGTCCGGGGTTAGAGGTACTCTCTCTCACCACCGTGTAGCTCTGCTCAGCCTCCAGGTATTCTTTGTACACCTGGTTGAGTTTGTCGAACACGGTCGCCACGACAGGAAGACTTCCCTTCTCTCCGCCTTCCAGGACTGAGAGGAAAAACACGGAAGATGTTTATTA